AATCCCCAAGACTCTCACAAGGCTGAACCAAGACTCGCCCAAGACTGGACTGCCTCAAGGCTCGCCCCTGGATTGGACTCGACTCTCCAGGACTGCTCTCTCTCTCTACTGCGTCTGTCGTGGAGTATTCGCCAAGACCAACTCAAACTCTCTTTATTCATTTTCAAAACTCTAACCAATTACAAAACAGTAAAAAGACTCTAGGGCGTAACCTTCAATCATAAAGCCAATCACACTAAGTACTGAATACGTCATATCTTTTGATTAATCGTTCACTACATTAATAACTATGGATGTAAACTGTCAGAATGAGTAGTCTAAAAAGCGGTGGTTATCTGGTAATTAGTTCCAAATCACTGAGCCAAGTTCCGTCCAAAACTTCAAATAGACCTTAACGATGACAGACATAACACAGCAATTCGCTCGTAATCAACTAATTAAGTCGGTTAACAGATACGCAAAAACAAATTCATGACATTTCTTTCCAAAATAATTACGAGAGTAAATATAATTAACTATAGTTAATTAAACCAATGTTTCATAATGATTAATAGGATATTATTATTATTTTATTTATAGAACAAATTCACTAGTTAAAGTTTACAATGTGCGACGAAGAAATCGCCGGTTTAGTTATTGACAATGGTTCCGGCATGTGTAAAGCTGGATTTGCTGGCGATGACGCACCGCGTGCCGTCTTCCCATCCATCGTTGGAAGACCGCGTCATCAGGTAAGGTCATATTTGCATTCCGTATACGTGCCAAGCATGTGACGAAGACATTTTAACAATAACTATGTAATACCGGGGTGGGTTTTTTTATTTAATTTAACCCAAATATAAGCCAGTCATAGGTTTATGATCGAGATTTTAACGAAAACCAGCCCGTTTTTGAAAAGGTGGACCACCTAATACATTTGGAGTAAAGTCAGCTGTGTAAACTTTTCTAATATAACTAATATAGTGTAGTTGAATCGGCTTCATTTTTATAACTTTCAATAACGCTGTGATGATGCTGTTTATGTTGATAAATTACTAATTACTAATTTCGTTTTTGGCTAATTTGTGTAAAATATTCCTGATTTTCAAATGTTTATAGTCTATGAGGAGTTCAATTGGCATCTGTAGCTATTTGCTTTATGTGGAACACGTTGGGGTGCTTTACTAGTATGTACTTTCGATATACAGCTCACAAAGCACTTACATTTAATGGGCATAATGCAAAAACCGGGAGACGAGATGCCAACACATTGCGAGTACAACACTGGCAATGTTCTTCGAGGACGGCGGTACCACAGACTGAATTCTTCTTGAGTGATCGCTGTTTAATTTCTTTGTAAATTCCCGCAGGGTATAATGGTAGGCATGGGCCAGAAAGACAGCTACGTCGGCGATGAGGCGCAGAGCAAAAGAGGTATCTTAACACTAAAATATCCAATCGAACACGGTATTGTAACAAACTGGGACGATATGGAAAAGATTTGGCACCATACTTTCTACAATGAGTTGCGTGTAGCCCCCGAAGAACACCCAATTCTCTTGACGGAAGCGCCATTGAATCCTAAAGTTAACAGAGAAAAAATGACACAGGTACTAAAACGTTAATTCAAGATATTGTTGTATACGGTATTAATTACGTGAAATAATGATAATGTAATGCCCAACGCATGCGCAGTTGCACATTGTAATACATGATAGAGTGAATACTACGTGTTCGCGTGTTCTGCGCGATCCAAACAACATGCAACACCAACGAAACCCAAACTTATTCAAATCGCCTTTATTAAAGTATATTTATTTCGTCCGTTTTGTAGATAATGTTTGAAACGTTCAACAACCCGGCAATGTACGTAGCAATCCAGGCAGTTCTCTCATTGTACGCGTCTGGGCGCACCACCGGTATAGTGATGGACAGTGGTGATGGCGTTACTCACACGGTACCGATCTACGAGGGATACGCGTTGCCTCATGCCATATCGAGGTTAGACTTGGCTGGACGTGATCTCACCGACTACCTTATGAAACTCTCTACTGAAAGAGGGTACACATTCACGACAACAGGTGGGATTGAGTTCAATAAAACTGGTTTTGTGAGATCTTGTCTCGCATGAAGATACTAATATTTTCTTCAAATAATATTCAAAGTGTAACACAGTCTGTCTAATTTCACAGCTGAGAGAGAAATTGTTCGAGACATCAAGGAAAAACTTTGCTACGTTGCTCTAGATTTTGAGCAGGAAATGGCCACTGCAGCTGCTAGCTCCTCATTGGAGAAAAGTTATGAACTTCCAGACGGCCAGGTCATCACTATTGGCAACGAAAGATTCCGTGGCCCAGAAGTACTCTTCCAACCATCTTACATAGGTCAGTGTTAAACTTTATAACATGCGTTTCCCGTTTTAATGCTCGTCGGACAAAAACAGCATTTCCAATCCACAAAGCGGAAGAGTCGTCATGCGCAGATGACGGCCCTCCTCTAACAGAGTATACAAATGATTTACTTGACGATTGTTTTATGTTGATCATTTGCGTTTTGCTGTAGGCATGGAATCTGCGGGCATCCACGAAACAACATTCAACAGCGTCATGAAGTGTGACATAGACATACGTAAAGACCTCTACGCCAACATAGTGCTGTCAGGTGGTAGCAGCATGTTCCCGGGAATCGCCGACAGAATGCAGAAGGAAGTGACGTCTCTAGCACCCAGCACCATGAAAATCAAAATTATCGCTCCGCCTGAGAGAAAATACTCCGTGTGGATCGGTGGCTCCATCTTGGCTTCTCTTTCAACCTTTCAACAGATGTGGATCAGTAAACAGGAGTACGATGAGTCCGGTCCTGGCATCGTGCACAGGAAATGCTTTTAGTTGAATCCAAACTGTAATTTAACTTCAAAGAAGTTGTTTTCTCACATGACCCTGCGTTTCGATATACACACGTATTTCACAACCGCAGTGAATCATCGCCGGGTCACCGTGACTACAGACTTTAACCCCGCTAGCTAGTATATTAACTGATTTATTATGATATATAAATGAATGCAGTATTTTATGTAATTTTTTATACTATATATTAATAACGAATCAATATATATTTTAACAATACACGTTTGCCTTTAATATTTATTTAATATAGTTCCTTCGTAATAATTAATATGACGCAGATTATTTCATGATTTATGCGTTTTCTCATTTCACTTACTTTTCCTATCAAGTTTCCATTTTCAGTTCTGAAACTTTTCTGAGTGAAAATATGGACCAAGCTAAACACAAAACAATAAAGCATAACGCCAAATGCGTAATTTACGCCTATAAAGTATCCCTATTCGACATTGGAATCGCCATTATATCTCACCGTCATACACAAGTTTAGTACATCCATGTCCTTGCGTCGTTGCGGTGGGGTGGGGGTGGTTGTGGCATATCATTTTTTACTTGTAGGCCATAACATAACATAAGAACGCTTTCCATAATATCGTTGAAAGACAGCTGTGTTTCTGTATGTACTCGTTTGTAATTTAGAATGTAGCGAATGTCCAGATGGGTAACTACAGATTTAAACAATGACATGGATGCCGTGCGGCGACCCTCACGTACGATTTACGTCCCAGAATCGGTTCGTCGCCAGAGGGCGCTACTCATACGAACGGCGTATTGAATCATGTCCACGAGTTCCACTCTCGAGTTTATAATTGCATTTCTTGATTAAGGCTGCCTTGTTTTTAATGTTGCAATTATTAATCGAATATTACCATATCCTTCTTGGTAACGTTAAACAGTTCTTGAAATCCGAGCGTGGGTAAATCATCTCTCAATCCGGGTATGACCCGGCCGTAATATCTGGGTATTGTGCTCTCTATATCCGGAACTTGTGTATGGTAAAATACGTTTATAATTCTGTATCTCTCCGTTCTAGTATTGTGGCGGTGTATTGCGCACATTTGACCAGGTCTAAAAACTGCAGGTCTTGCGTTTGTGTAGTAGTAACATAAGTGAAGAAACAAAAGAGACTATAATGCGTATATCACTTAATGTGCCATTTATTCGTACAGTAGACTGACATGATACTACGAAAGAACAATCACGATACACACTAAGATATTCAGAAAGACATTCTTTATGAAGGGTTTATCGGATTCATGCCTCTTAAAATTGGATGGAAACGCTGTGATTGGTTTGTAATGTTGACAGGTTACTCTTGACATTCCATTTCAACTTAATCCGATATAATGTGAGCCTCATTGTGACGATCTCTCAAATGGCCTACTTAAGTTTACAATAATAATACAAGCGTTAAAGGGTGAAATCAGACATGTAATCAATTTCTATTCTAAATGAGAATAAAGTGCGGAATTGATTCAATCATGGAAGGTACTAACGTTAGTACCTTCCATGATTCAATCAAAGACGAACAGATACAGTAAATCATTATCGATAATTAATTACGAATAAAAAAAAAAACTACATTTATGAATAAAAAACAACAGATATGAATCAATTAGAAAACACAATTACTGAAGAATTACAATTAGAATAAGAATTACTGTGCGGAAAATGTATCTGTATTGGAGTGTGAACAAGACCAGCTTTATGTGACGTTTGCGCAACGAAAAATAGGTCTCAATATGCGCTTGAATTTTTCAAAATTGTCGGCATAATGTTTTTGTTCAAACCTCTTATCTCGGCCATTCAAGCCCCCGGTTTTTATATTTCCTTTTACTTGAGATTTATTTTATTCACAGATTGGATACGTTTAAGCCGCCCGGCGCTGAGAAATCGCAACTTTTCTGAGAATCTTCGGTATTAATCATGACTCAACTTCTTCTATCAAAATAAAAACACAGTCCCGGTGTATCGTATATCAGGCAGAATCAAGACCATCTTATCATGATCGTTATGTTATAATTACTAAACACTTACTACAATTGTTAAAAATGGAGCATGATGCCTAGACTTTACTCAGTAATTGTGGTGACCCACCTTTGATCCACCAAACAGCAATTGGGAAGTTGCAATAGCGAAATGTATTCCTGACCTACGTACAATTTACCTAGTAACCTGGCCCCTGTTCGGGTATAAGACTGTACCACCCACACACATCCACTATGGCCATAATGATATACGATCGTTGTGCTCTCCTTTGTCAGATATCCGTCAATGAATTAACCGAAACTAAATTACTCCGCTGTACACACACAGCGGTTATGACAATTTGTGTATAAAATGCGGTGATGCATTTTTTCTTCTTTTTTATGAAATATCAAGAAAGTCAATCTGCGCATGAGTGAACAAGATATTGTGCCACTCGAACGGCAGGCATATTCCCTTACATTTTTTTCATTTTCAAAATAAAATTGGAACTGACGCGCGCATTGATCTTAAACAGCTCTATTTTTTAGCCTAATACATGGACATCATATGTGCGTAGGAAGTCAATCCCGATATTACAAAATAGTTGTGTCGTTGCCATGAATTAATTCTAAATTCACATTGGGTAACAGTGTTTCTCTCTAGCATAATTATCAGACAGAGACAACAGCGTGTAACTTCTAGAATTGAGAACACAGCCGATTGGAAATTAGTGTTAAAATATGTTTGATTTACATAAAATATATCTGATTATATATGTTTATTTATATAAAAAGCATGTAATGACATTGTCAGGGTGGATAACGATATCATAGTAGTATATCTCAGCTTTACGATAAAGTGGTTGCCATCTCAACGATCTCTACTATTCAAAGTTTTGAAAAATATGAATATCATGTGGTACAGAATTATGAATAGGGTCTGCGTATTAATTTTATAATGTTACTGTCTAGTATAATATAAACATTTATTTACTTTCTGTTATTTACGTCCCTGGGTGTACTAACTATCAACCTACTTGCACGCCTTCACTTTATCCACCCGTGGCATTGACATCAGTTTGTTGATGTGTCGTTATTTGAAATTTCGAAAAAAAATATTCAGTTTCGGATATCCGATTTATTTCTATAGTTATACGTTTCAAGTAACCGATAACGAATATCCGACAACGGAAATGTTCCGAACTACTGTAATCATAACCATGATCTGTTGTTCACATTTTCAGTTCTGCGTACATGACACCATCGTTGACGTTTCCTTTATTTAAAGCACGTACTGGGGATGAATCTGAGAATTCGAGATCGGCATATGACAGGCCTTCTACGTTACGCATCATCGCTCGATTCATGTCAATTGTAGCACCCTCAGTAGGATGCGACTCTGTGGATTTTATAACAGCGTATCCGGGACTATCTATATCATCCCCAGCCTGAGAATCGCAAGTTTTATTCCTAATTTTAGCGTGTTGCATGTTTTCATAGACAACTACAGTGTCTTTCCCATCTTGCCGAGACGTTGGTTCTGTCTGCGCCTCATTGCACGTAAGTCCTGATTTTACCGGTTTTGTTCCACGAATAGGGAGTGGTTTCTTGGCAGTCTTCGTTTTACCGTGTGTTTGCTTCGGATAATTATGACTTTCGCTGTCATCTGGTTTCTCAGAATTGTTTCCGGTTTTCGGTACTTTTTTAACCTGGGCGTATAAATGTTGTACACTGACGTCATTTTCAGGTTTGTTTTCTCTTCTCCCAAGAGTCATCGCTAACTCGACATTTACAGAGAGATTTGTCTCGTCGTCTTTAAATACAACATCGGATTGACTCTTAAAACTCGCGAATTCTCGCAGTTTGTCGGACCTACTATTGACATCTCCGAATATTCATTTCCATTGTCAAATGTCTCATTTGCTCGGACTGGACCACGGTTTTTTCTGTCACGGTGAGATTTAACCAAAAATATGACAATAACTGCTAAAATACCCAACACGATAGCGCCACCAGCGCCAGCACCTGCAGCTACACCAATTAAAGTTGCATCATCACCAATCACGTTTACATATGTTGTGCCCTCTACGTCACGTGTAGTGGTTGACGAGACGTGGTTTATATATGTACTAGTCAGTGTGGTTGGAACGGGGAGTGATATTGTAACATCTATGGCTGTACTGCCTGTAGTGACACTGTTGTTGACGACACACGTGATAATATGCACACCGTTGTCATGGAAACTTACGTCACTTAAAGTTAATTGTGTAGAGTCGTTGTTGAGTGTAAATCTCTCACCGGAGACAGTAGTATTATCATATTTCCACGAATACGTGAACACGTCAGGATCTCCCAAAGCATTGCAGATGAACCAGGTAGAGTTTCCTGTGACTACGTCGTTACTTCCTGTCTGTAGTGTTACAGTGGGTTTTGTATAGATACGTTTATGTGGACCGATTTGACATTGGTATCGATTAGCCCAGCTAGGGTGACTTGAAATGCAGGAAAATACCACACTTTCCTCACCTTGTCGTGGTATCCATGTATGTGTAGTTGTTAATAATCCTTCAACGATACTTGGATTTGACGAATTCAGTATAAAAAATTGATTGTCTACTATTATATTCCACGTAAGTGTAATCATTGGTACACCAGTGACGTCATTGTGTGTACATGTCAAAATGACCTCTTCATTCTCCACTATGATGTTATGACTTTGTTGGCACTGAGGAGATCCAATGTTACCAGACGGTGTCACGTAGAAACTAAGAACTGTCATATCGGACGATATAAGCACATTATCATTGATATCACGTACCACACACTGGTAATTTCCACTGTCAAACGCAGCTGTCTGTGCTGAGATTTCAGTTATCTTCAGCTCAAAAGAGTCGTAGTTAAAGTAATCGGAGTAAGTGTAATATATGGAATACCGTGGGTCCACATTGCCAACTGTTTTCATTTCTCTATTGTCGCTGATAGTAATCCCATTCTTCACCCATGAAACTATGTTGTTAT